CCCCCCAGAGATGGCTGAAAGATACCCTGACTACGCCTAAGTCTAGGCCTGCCCACTGGCCTTTTTTTAAGATGTTAAAAAAATACATTTTTTTTTAACACGGACAATTGTTTTCAGTCTCCTTTCAAATTTAATTATGCTGGGAATCTTATGTTATGTAGGCCTATGACCATTGGCGTAAGAACGCGAGGCGATTCGCCCCGGTTGTCGCTTTTTAATGGGAAGGGGGGGGGGGGCATTTTTGCGTTTGAAGGATGAAGGAGGCATACTTACTTACTTACTTATGCCTTTCTACCCCCTCTGGGGCATAGGCCGTCTACAAGAATTTTTCGCTCGTCGCGGCTCTGTGCTTTCCTTTCCAATTGCTTCCAGGTGTTAGGTGTATCCCATATTTTGCGTGTCTGCCTCTAGTTCTCGTATCCATGTATTCTTAGGCCTTCCTCTCTTTCTTTTTCCCTTTGGGTTCCATGTTAGGCATTGTCCGGTGGTGCTATCTGGGGGTTTTCGGAGCGTATGCCCTATCCACCTCTATCTTTTCTTTATGATATCTTCATGGGCACCTGGTGTGTCCTTTCTAGTAGATCTTTGTTGGTGATAGTATGAAGGAGGCATGAGGTGGCTAAAATATTTGCCAGCCCCCGGTCTGCACTAACCCTATTTACGCTATTGTCTAGTCTATTGTTCCATTGTAACTGGTACTCGGATGACGTCTGTTTGTCACGTTGCGATATCCCCAACAAGGACCGTTTCTCCTATGCCTAATGCCTAGTGTAATACACATATTTTGTATGAAAAATTTACTAAGTTGGCTTAGATGGCCCCCTTCGCCACCGCTCTTCGCACTCCCTGATAACGAGTACAGTATTTATTTTATTGGGCCGAAGTGAGTCCGTTTTTTATCATGGATTGGAGATCGGAATATATTTTCCCGGTCTATTTGCAAGGTTCAATTATGCCCTCGCCATGATCAATTTGCAATATGCATTTTTGCCCTCATTAACATTGTCATTGGCCCTTCATATTTAGGCCTGTTTAAATAAATATAATAAATAATTGGAAGTTGTAGCTATCCCGATTAATTGGTAATTAATTAATACTATTGATATTATTTGCTTTATCGGTCCAACCCTCAAGTTTCAAGTTTCGTTCTTTATATGAAAAATGGAAAGAAAAAAAAATTTAAAGTAACTCTTTAGTGAATATATAGAAGATTATTATTGTGGATGACTATTGATACTCTTCTAATTTGGGCGACCATTTAAGTTCTATCTTCAAAATGGCTGATAAGTCTAAAGGAAAACGAGAAGCGAATGAAGAAGAAAACTCAACACACACAAACAAATCTGATGAGGAAAATAGTGATGATGACTGGGTTGGCCCCACCTTAAATGAAGCTACGAAACCAAAGAAACGGAAAAGTATAAGGATTTTAATTTTACTATAAACCACTGCCCAAAAATGGCATGCAAACCAAGCCCACCAAATGGCCCGCAAACCAAACCAATTCTGTCAACAATTGAAATCAAATTGATTTTGACTTTCTACGCTGTATTTTTAACTATGTACTTGGGCAATTATACATGTATTATTCAGATTATGTCATTCAACTCTTTCTGTATCAAAACAAAATCCATTATGGACCCTTTAAAATGAAATTGTAGGCTATTGACAGTATTTTGGCCCCCTGCCACTTTTAAACCATCACCCCATGCCCATTATTGGTAGATACTTTGACTCTGAAATTTTAAATAAATAGTGTCAGAATAATGTAGGTACTTCGGTAAAGCAAGGGAGACTACTAACAAATTTGTATGAGAAATTGGCGTCTGTGTGTGAAAATCCGAGTTTTTAATTTTTTGATGTTGGTACTATCCGTCTATTTCATTAATAAAATAATTACTATATCATATCCCATAATTGTATTCCGTTTCAGGCCTTTCACTTTAGAGGACATCTTGGCCTACATTTTAATCAATTTCTTTTTCATTTACCATCAGTCAACTTTGAGAAAATCCATGGTAAATAAAAGGCAATTTTCATCATTAAAATTAAGTCCAAGTAAAAGATATGGCACTGCCAAATTTTTTATACATCTACGTCATGAGGGGATACTGATCTTCTATCAAGCGCCTCCCCAGGTGGCTGATAGGGGAAAGCCCACCAGATATGGAGGGTAACAGGGAAATAAAATACCCAGGGCGGACCAAAATCAGTATCTACTGCCTTGTAGGAAGTGGAGGGATCCACATAGGCTAGGGACCTGAATCAATACAAAAGCAGATACCCTGAGAACTGCAAGGGGCATCCCCCCAGACGGTTATGCGCTGGGCTGATGACCCTGTCACGTAAAAAAGTAAGTGTTACAAAAGTTAAACCACATACAGAAAAACGGATTGATATTGGATTTCGACCCAATGCCTGACCAAAAATCTGATGATGGATATACACCAGTTGGGGGTTCGTGTATGGAGGCGGAAAGTCATGGATCGCTCCTAATGGAAGGATGTGGTGGAGCGGGCCAGGGTCCTACATGGACTGCTGCATCACTGATGATGATGATGTATTTATCAACATGTATGCCAATTTTAACAGCGCTATGTGTTATATGAGAGATGCCATGTTTCTACGGGTTAGCAGCAAGTCATGCAGTTCGCCTACCCCAATTTTGATGGATGTGACCGCGCCCCCTTTTAATGGCGGTAGATGCCGATGCTTAGGAAATACTAAATTATTACCACTATTTACATCAAAATATTTGATAACTTGTGTTTCAGAATGCATTTTAAAGACATTTAAACTGGAATGTTTTAAATTGAGCTTTAAAAGCCCGGTAGAGTCCATATTATAAATGATAGAAATTTTCTGTGTGCCAAACGTTGTCACTAGCAACCATTCACAGCCACTTGCATAATGGCTATATCGTAGTACTACCTGAAAGTTTCATTCATAAGAGTTTACTTTATAGTAGTGGATTATAAATTTACGCACTATTGTACCCACAACTTTCTTACTTTTGAAGACATTGGTGACAATGATTATAATCAATGTTATTTTTCTTTTTCCTGTCTACCTCTTTATTTTTTAAGATTGTTTTATTGTTAACGTTTACTGGCCTAACTTTCCTTATTCTTTTTGAAATGCTAATTTCTGTAATTCTTGTCTTTAGCTTTGGCATTCGAGCAGGTATATTTAGATAGTCTTCCATGTGCAGAATACTATGAAAAAAGTTATATGCACCGTGATGTCATCAATCATGTGGCTGTTAGCAAGTAAGCTACATAAACATCTTCTTATTTTATAGTTTATAATGTACTACTTATTATCAGTGCTTTTTGTAAATGAGATCATCACTTTGTGTTTTGTTTTTATGTTTGATTTATTTGTCTAGTTTATGTGAATTGTTTTCTCCTCTGGATTCAGGAAACTTGTGTAGGCACTAAAGATCTGCTTATGCATATACTTTTTTTTTATAAATCTTTAGTTATGGCCTTCCAATTGATCTTGCATTTATTATAAGGATTATGTCAAAATAGAGTTTAAATTGCTGTCTTCAAACTACTCCAGAACGGGGTTCATAGTGACAGCAAGTTGTGATGGCCATGTCAAATTTTGGAAAAAGTGTGTTGATGCTGGAATTGAGTTTGTCAAGCATTTCAGGAGTCACATAGGTAAATTTGAAATTTAAAAAACCTTATTTAAACACCCAGCATGATAAAAAAAATTGCTTGACATAAAATAAATGCAGTTAATGTTAAATTGGCTTGCATTTTTTAAATTTAAAATAAAAAAATTGAACTGATAAAATGTATGTTTGTGTTCCAGGCACCATTGAAGACTTAGCCATGTCATCTAATGGGGAACTGTGTGCCACTGTATCATCAGACAAAAATGCTAAGGTTTTTGATGTCTTGAACTTTGGTTAGTAGTCACCAGTAACAGTTTCATTGCATTTACACTGAATGTACAGCAACTACAAACAAAATAAATTTCTTATTGATTAGGAAATATTCAACATTTTTCCTTTCTCATTGCACTAAAAATATTTAACTGTACTCACTCATGGGAGGACACTCGCAGCTAACATTAGAAACATTCAAGTTAAACTGTCAACTTGTACTAGCTGTGTGGAATTATATCTCAATTCTCACTGACCCCCAGGTGGCATTAAAACATTATACATTAAAGAGAGTACTGGAATTAGTATCTACAACAATTTTTTTCATGTTATATTGATTTTCTTACCCTCCAGATATGATCAACATGTTGAAACTTGGCTTCCTTCCCAGCTGTGCCGGGTGGCTGTACAAAGCTGGAGATCCAATCTCAACACTCGCTATGTAAATTGAAGTGCATTATTATGATCAGATTTATGAAAGGTGTTTATATCATCATAGGGGCTGTTAAAAGAAAACTCATAGACTTGTTGAAGCTACTAAATTTTATCACTGACTGAAATGCAGAAGGGCTGTTAAATTTCTTATAATTCTGCATGAAAAGACAAATTAAGGTTTAATTCATGCTCTTCAGTTAGTCTATATTTATATAATTTTTTTTTCAATTCGCTGATTAGTGGCAGCACAATTTTCAGATTATCTTTTGTTATTATTAATTGTTATGGGAAAGGAAATTTACTTGGAAAGGAAATTGTAATATATTTTCTGCTTACTCTCATACATAAATAATTCTTTACAGAGCAGAGAAAGACACCCCCAAAATTTATATATATGATGGCAGAGGGACAAGCACGCCTATGAAATTGTTAGAGAAAATCCACTATGCTCCAGTTACTCTTATTCAGGTAATAAACCACAGCGCTGTAGATTAGTACATCATCCTTTTTACTACAGTCATATTTTATATTTACATTTGTCAACACTGTTCACTTGTCACTTTGCCTTCAGATATCCATTTCTCCGTATTCAGTGTTCATGTGAGCCTTCCATCCCCATCTTTTTGGTTTCTTTTTATCATTGTTCAGTGCCCAAGTTTATTTTTACTATCTTGTGCCATGTTTTTAACGTAAACTTTATTGTAACAATAATTTATTTCTAGATGCAGGTTAAGAGCAGTACAATGATTTGAGAAGGAATTGAAATTGCAATGTTCTTTTGTGTATGTGTGTGTTGTCTCAGCACTTTCTAATTTAGTATTTTTTCTCTTATTTGATCCAAGTCTGCAAGGCCATAAACAAAACCTTCCATTTATCTCTGTTTTGAGCTATTCTTTCCAGTTCATTCCACTTGTTCCTATTTCTCTCACTCTCTCTCTGTTGAGCTCCCTTCTCCATGTGTTATGAGGTCTTCTTTCTATAACTTTGTGGATTACGTGGCAGAGACTGTCTAATAATATTTGATTTTGGTTCCCTCAGTGTAGGGCCCATTCATTTCCTCCTCTGTATTTCAAGCTCAATGGTATTACTCATTTTCTCAAATGATCTCATTTGGGATATTTTGAATTCATTATTTTTTTAGAATCATCCACATACATCTGTTGATGAAAAACCTGTAGCTCCTTTATGTTAATTTTTGGTTTGTTCTACTTAGAGAAGAATATTCTTTACATTTGAAGTGAATATTTGTTAGTTTTGCTCTTATCACAATTTTATTGGATTTCCATGTCTCTTTTGGTGTGTTGAAAGCTCCCCTCGCGTTCTGTATTCTGGTTCTACTTTTTAATTGTTAAGTAATATATCACTGCCATTTAACATATGTTTCAGTACAATCCAGTGTTTGAGATTGCCATTTCATCAGACAACAAAGGAATGATAGAGTACTGGACGGGGCCTAAGAATGATTATGGATTCCCTAAAAACCTACACTGGGAATATAAGACAGATACAGATTTATTTGATTTTGTAAAGGTAGAAATTTTGAATTCCTTTGTTCATTTTTAAGGGCAAGCACAGAAAAACAAATGAGCTACGGTGCTGACAATGGCTTGCATTATTATTTTTTTTGGACTTTCAGGGCGGAATTGCATTTGTTCATGCGTTGAGTCATTTTTTCTTCCTTCAAATGAGCTATTACTGAATATGCTAAATTATAGAGATCACCATCGACTTTCAAAAAAAAAATTATTTGTAACATTGTTTTATGTTTAGATGTATAGATGGATAAACTGGTAGTTATGGGATAGGGTATTTAATTTAACCACGTCTTAAATTGTAGTCTCTATTTTCAGTGTAAATGTGAGCCACTGTCACTGACATTTTCACCCAACGGTCAGCTAATGGCAACTATGGCTACAGATAGAAAGGTAAGTTTTTTAATAAAATAATTTCTTTGGCTAATATAATAATAAAATGGTTTTTCAAGAAGAAGTATGAAAAAATGACTTTTTTTTTTTAATGCAATAAGTTATGATCAGTCTTGGGGAACGTGTTTGTAATGTCATGATTCGTGAGTTGAGTTGGTATTCTTGTGATGTGATTGGTCAAAAAGGAAATGTAATGAACATGTGAGGTATAGAGAGTGTGTGTGACAAAGAGTAGTTAGTTCTAGTGGTAGAGAATGTGTCGGTAGTCTCGTTGTGTAGTGTTGGGAGATTCCATATTGATAGGGTTGCTTCTAGTTCGTGTTAAGAATGTTTATCAGGTTTTCATTAATGTTGTGTTCGTCAAAATCAATAATTACTTTATATTGTGAACTTTTATGTGATTAAAGAAGCGCCATGGGTAACTGAACTGTTGGTGTTCTTGTAATTATTGCACAAAATGGAACTAGCAAGTTGTGTGAGACATGGTTCAAGTTCATGCCTTAGACATTCGGAACTTGGACTGCCCAACAGTAGGAGCATATACTACATAATGGGGGAGTTAGTAGAAATACAAAGTTTATTTATTTTGAAAAGCAGATAGGGTTTTAGGACATTTCTCAGCACATAGGATCCAGAAGAACATTTTATCAATAAACTTGAGTGTATTTACAGATCCGCATTTTCAAGGTTGGCTCTGGTAAATTGTGGAAAGTCTTAGATGAATCAATAAAACAGTTTACAGAGCTTCAGCAGGTGAGAGATATCAGATTTAGTTCATGTACAGTTAGCTAATTTCTTTTGGTGAGCACACCTTGAGATCATACATAAAAAAACTTTAAAGCAGCATATGTTTTGGGTTTTTTTTTGTTTTAAGATAAATCCAGACATTGGGCACCAACTGATTTAGTTGACCTGACATGTTTTGAAATTATCCCAGGCATGGTGGTTTTTTTTTTCTCTCAGCATTTTTTTTTTCTCTCAGAATTTTTTTTTAAAAAGTTGAATATTAGCATGAGGCTTAGAAAAGACAAGACCTAATAATTGTTTTGTTATTTCTCCTTTAAGAAAAAGCAGCAGATTCCAAACATGGAGTTTAGCAGGAGAATAGCAGTTGAAAAAGATCTGGAAAGGTCACCCAGCTTTCATGTGTGCAATCTGGGTACAGCATTGATTCCATGATTTAGTTTTTGATCCAACTTTAAGGAAACATTAAATATCATCCTACTTAATTAAGTAAAATTTTGGGAGTTTTGTTTGTTAATTTAAAAGAAAATGTAAAGAAATAATATTAATCTCTGTATTCTAAATATAACGTAGAATATGGCAAATTTTGTTTAAGTTAAGCGGATAATTTTTTTAACCACCAGTACATAAATAAATATAATATTTTTTGTCTCTTCACAGTTTTTGATGAAAGTGGTTACTTTTTATTGTATTCAACAATGCTGGGCATTAAAGGTAAACATTTAAGTCTTGAAATACATAAATATATTTAAAGCCATGTTACTAAATATACTTTCATTAATTCTACACATAGAGCAATTATTGTAATGTCTTTTTTTTTGTATCCCATTTAATTAAAGATTAGAGTTCCTCAATAAGTCAATTTTGTTTAGCCTTAAACATTTCACAAATTTTATACTGTTTTATCTTTACAGTGATTAACCTGCAGACAAACACATGCGTGCGGTGGCTGGGCAAATCAGAGAATGTGCGTTTCTTGCATCTTGCCATGTTTCAAGGGGCAGGTAAAACTTCCCAGCCCATTGATGCTGAAATGGCTGCCTCAGACAATCCCATATTGAAAAATGTGTTTGTGGATCCCATCTTGGTATGCACTGCATTCAAAAAGCCAAGATTTTATTTGTTCAGCAGGAGGGAGCCAGATGAATCAAGGGGGTACATGTTTTTTTTTCCTACTTAATTTAATTTTGCATAATGTAAGATACCGGTACTGAAGATAACATCAAACAATTTTGGAGGCAGTTAATTGATTGTTATGCTCTCATGATCGTGTTATACCATGTAACACAAATAGTTGGGTTTTTTTAATTTCACATCACCATGATTTAAATAATGTCTCCCAAAAATAAGGGCAGTTGTGATCTTTGGACAAAATTTATCAAATGTATCTAATTAATGTCCAAATTATCACAATTCATACCTTAATCAGCTGAACTTTCCTTTTATTTCCTTTCAAATATATCAGGATTCTCTTTTATTTAAACCAATGTAGATGGCTTTATATCTTTAACTTCTATGGTTTGGGAGCAATCAGTACTATAATTATTAACTTGTGGAAATTGTGCAAAAGATTGCAATCCACCAACATGCACTTTTCTCTATTCCCTAGGTCACATTTATTATTCAGATTCATATTGACAATTTATCTTGGATTTGAAAAATGACCATCTTTATAAACTGGCGTTATCAACCATTTATGGTCTTATTTGTATAAGAAATTCATCATTATTTTTTCTTTTTCTTCTATAGTGCTGACAATGAAAGAGATGTGTTCAATGAAAAGCCTTCAAAGGAAGAAATAGTTGCAGCCACTCAGGTTTACTTTATTAATCATTTATTCCTTCATTTTCTTATTTTTACTTGTAAAAGAATATTGGTGTCTTTTTTTGTTCACAATAAATTTAGGTATTATACATATACTTAAATAAATTTAGATAATTATTATTACAGTGGTCTTATATATCACAGTTGCCCTGCCTAGGACTGGCCTCACCGCGCTGTACATAAAAATATTAGCAAACATAATCATGACATTAAAAAATAACATACATTATTTAATTAAAAAACGGCTCTATAAAAACAAAATATATGTATTTATTTTCAGGATGCTTCTTACATGAGGGTGTCTGATAGCTGTGTCATTCATACAACACAGGGAGATATTCATTGTAAAATATTTGCCAAGGAGTAAGCAAGATTTTAAATATTAAAATAGAGGAAAGAACTAATTGGTTATGCAGATAGTTGCATTCACACCCGACACAAAACCTGTAGTGATTATTTGGACCTAGTAGTAGCTTTAGGATGAGAGAAGCTTTTTATTTTGCTGAATAATTTGAGATGGAAAAAATAGTTTTAATACTATCAGTTTTTTATGTTAATGTTATCTTAACTGTCGTGAAACTATGTATACTAAAATTGATTAGTTTCTCTTCAAACTGAAAAAAAATAAAACAAGGATTTTTTTTTTCTCATGCTCAGGTGTCCCAAAACAGCTGAGAATTTTTGCGTCCATAGTCGTAATGGCTACTACAACAACCATTTGTTCCATCGTGTTATCAAGGGCTTTATGATACAGACAGGAGATCCACTGGGTCAGTCAAGCAAATATTTAGAACAGTCAATAAGTTAATTAGAATAACATGGTGTCATTTCTAAAACTTGTCAAGACCTTTCATGATATGGCAATCCCTTCATTATAGGGCATGTTCAACAAGTTAAAATTATGTTAATTTTTAATAGCATTTCCTACCATAGGAATTTTTTAAATAATAAATGATTTCTAAAACTATTCTAAATTAGTCTGAGTATGATGTAAAAAAGATGACTATTTCAGTATTTGGCTTCACCTCTTTTAAATTAACAAATTTAACTGACAGGCTGTAGTATGAGCTCAATGTATTTTTAGCATGCTTAAAATACCTGGTATAAGGTTTTGTGTTTTATGATGATATAAGAATGGATTAAAATTAACTTTAATTAATATTGTTCTTCATTATCAATATATAGGTAATGGCACTGGTGGTGAGTCCATTTGGGGTGGTGAGTTTGAGGATGAGTTCCACCCCAATCTAAGACACGATAGACCCTATACCCTCAGTATGGCCAATGCTGGGCCAGGCACAAATGGTTCTCAGTTCTTCATCACTGTGGTCCCTACTGTAAGTTCCTGTTGTTTTTTTCTTAATACTTTGTCATCAGTCATATAAAACTATCGTGCTTGTAAATACTAAGACTATGGCAGGCTTAGGCACCAGCCTCTTTGCAGCTTGCTGACAGGATTTTTAAAACAAATTTTTTTTAGTTTTCCCCAATATCTATAGTAATTAAACCACACATTTGATTCACTTTAAATATTGATTTAATTTGTGTGTCATATCCAGGTGGGAATCATAGAAAAAACTTATAAAGAATAGCAATATTGTTTATATATTACATTTTTACATACATACTGGTGCTAAGAAACTCCCTCCCTGTTTTTGTAATGTTTACTATTCCAATGAGACTTTGATTTATTATGCTATTAAATTGACTTTTTATTCTCTTCTCCTGTGTAATACAGCCTTGGCTTGATAACAAACACACTGTTTTTGGAAGAGTTGTCAAGGGAATGGAAGTTGTGCAAACCATCAGCAATGTCAAGGTGAACCCCAAGACTGACAAACCTTATGATGATATTCGCATTATTAGTGTAACAATCAAATAGTCTGCTCATCATTGGGTTAATGGTTTGATTAAATTTTTTTATGGCCATGTAATACTAACAAAAATACATCTAGGTGCAGTTTCGTTAAATGCTAATTTTAAAATTACTGATTAGATTTTATAAAATGCAAACCAAACTTCACCATCCCATATAAGGACCTAAGCTTGTTATTATAATTAAATCAATTTACTGTAGTTTCATGCAAATTATAATTTTTAATCCAAAATTCATAGGGGATATTTAACTGCCTGCTCAGTTAAGCACTGAATCAACCAATTAAATCATTGTTGATATTAATTGGAATAATTATTTCTGTTATAATTAAAGTATCATTAGGTTTAAAATGTTTTTTTTAAATAACCTGTTGTTCCCAATGATAAAATTACATTTTGTCAACTAAAGAATAATTGCTTTTGTTATTTATTTAATTTTTACAGACTTATGCATACAATGCATTTAGATTAGTGTAATTTGACTTTTGAATGCAATTTAATTTTGGTCAACTTACTTAACAGTCACAGCAACCTTGCAGAAAAAAAATTTTAAATGTGTGTGTTGTTTGGCAGTCATTTCTTGAGCAGTGTGTAATGGTTAGGGATAAAGTCAATTCCTAACAAACCAAGCAAATTTCAGATTTAAAACTGAATTCTATAACAAATCATCTTAACACTATTAATATTAAAGTAAAGCTAATTTGGCTAAAGGTGTGTAGTTTTACAGAGGTAATATGGGAAGGATATAAATAGAACTGATGTTTTGGGTGATGTCTTAATGGAACTACTTAACATAAAACATCCTGACTGTGACATTAAATGTTTTTGAGTTTTCATATATAAAAAAAATCTATTTTATTTTTTAAAAAACATTACTTCAAGCACCCAATAAAAGACCATTTTTATTTTTAAACTTTATTATATATCTGATTTTAATAGTTTCATTCATGAAATATTTTTAAAGACTATTTTATATTAGCAACTAAATAGATGGGAGTAAGAAGACAATTGTAAAAATAAAAAAAAATTGTATTAAAATCCCTTGGGAGTCAGTTAGTTAAATTTTATGGTTTAAAATGAAATGAATTTTCCAATTTAAATAAATTAGCACTGATATTTTTCAAAATAAATTTAAAAAGACTTTTAAGCTCTCTGAAAGACAAAATAATGAGTCTTTTTAAAGTTTACATTTTATTTAATGCCTTTCAATTTAAATAAAATTATTATATTGAAACATTTCATATCACCCAGTACTGTATTATCAATTTATTACACTCAGACGCTAGCTAAACGCCTGTACTTTGCCACAATGTTAAAGGGAATACAAATATAGTGGGATGTATTATCCTGGTCTTGTCTTTCCATTAATCGGTAAGAGTAGAAGTTGGAATTTAATAACTTAAAAATTGAAAATGGTAAATTTAAGAAGCCAGAAGGTCTCCGCACATGTGAAGATATCCTAGTTTTCTAAACATAATATGCAAATTTAAGTACCGTCGGCAGGTCGGATGAACTGATGTCGTGGGCTGGATCCGGCCCACGGGCCGTTGTTTGGTGACCCCCCCGCCCCACATCACAGCCTGTGAAGATTGCTTGTTATCAAATTGCTCAGCAGCATTAATTGGGGTACGGTACAAAACTTTAAGAAAAAAGATTGTGTGGTGGAATCCCTGTTGGGTTTAATTTGTGGAACTCTGTCCTTAACCCAAATCAAATTATCCAAGTGAATGTCTCAAATCTAAGCATATCTCTTCACTTAATGTCGTTAGATCTTTGACAACTTCACAGATATTCCCCGGAGTGTATACCTTTTGGAGTCTAAACCTTATCATCTTCCATTAAATTCCCATATCCTATTAGGAGATGGAAGTTTTACAACTCCTGTCTCTATCTCCCTTTTGAGATAAACCCTCATCTTGACTCGCATGGATCGGACTTGAACTTTAGGTCATAGGCGGGATGACTTAAGACAGGCTCTGACCTTATAGCATGTGACCCCGAAGAAAGGCGGGTGGTGTCTGAAGTCACCAGCCAGTAGCATATTAATTCCACCCATAAGGCATTTATTCATCTGAAAATTCTGAAGAGTTCTGTCAATTCTTCTATTCCCCCGTTGTGAGCCATGGTGCACTCATCACAATCAACTTGTACTATCGAAGTACCTGAGCTTCAGTCCAATGTTTTGAAATGTTGCACAGAGAAGTCTCAGAGGGATTTAAGTTGAGAGGGAGTTTCAAGGCAGTGTGCGTTGTCTTTCCATCGTCCAACAAAGTTGCTGCTTAACACAAGGAAGCTGCAGAAATCGAGATTTTCTTTCCCAATACTAAGTAAGAAGCAACACAGTCACTGTCACACCGTAATGAATAAAAATTACAGTCAGATCTGTTTTTCACCAAAAATCACTTGATAAAAGCGCCATAGCCAGATCCCTGTGTCCTTTTTTTATTTGTATTTTGAGGCATGTCAGTGAGCTTCTCTGGTACCAATTTTAATTTTCTAGTGTGCCTATTAAGAGTGCTTAACTAAGTCGTATCTATTTTCACAGTTTACAACCTCCACCCTCTCCCTAAGCACCTACATATTACAGTGATATTTAACCTTAGATTCATGTTTTAAGAACTTAGATAAAAAATATTCTTATTGGATGCACACCATTCTCAAAAATATAATAGTGCATGTTCAAATGCACTGCAAATACATAAAACTTGCTATCATAATATCAAAACACAAACTCTCCAAAAAAAGCATTGCTTTTACTTTTAAATATGTTTTGGACCCCAGTCATTTTTGGCCACTTAAAAGCTGAATTTTAAAAGAACTTGTCAGTGGAATCACCTTTGGAAAATTTCAACTTCATAGGGCTTGTTATTGAGGTCTCATGTCAATCAGTATTAGGATTTTACATATGTAAATAAGATTACCTTGCAAGTATGTGCAAAGAAATACTGAAATGAGTCAAAAGGTTAATGACTCTAGCTGCCATTAACATTTAAGGGTTGTAATAAATACAAATGACATGACTTGTAGGCTTTTAGCCAACCTGGAATTTTTCTTTAAATTTCAACTTGCATTGTTAGCGTCTGTGAATCTAGGTAGGTGAGTTGGCATCATGGTGGGCTAAATAAGTATTCATCATATCTGGAACTGGAACATCTTCTTGTGATTCACTTGTACAAATAGAACTATGAACTTGAGTTTTTGATTCATTGTCACTGTGCGGAACTTGTGTTGTGTCACCTTCAGGGCTGTTATTACTTGAGCTGCAATCCATCATTACATAATGATTTATTTGGGTATCATCAGAGCCAAAAGGACCTGAGGAGGACATACTTATTGATATTTCTGAATCAATCAGAAGTTTGGAAATATTTGATGTACAAGTCAAACTGTGTAGTGTCTTGTCACTTTGCTGGCTGTTACCACTGAGTGTCGATTGATCAACAGAGGCTTCTGTTTGTGGTTTATCTGCCAATAAATGCAGGCTATCCTCCAAAAATGTAACTTTTATCTCCCTCCCACGTCTGTAGGAGAGGGAATGTATGAATTAATCTCTGAATAAGCAGGACCATCAAGATCATAAATTCAGTTTTTAATATCATACTAATTATTTGAAAAACATGTATGTCTGTATTTCTTAAGCACAATCAAGAGAAAAGTAAGGTAGGTATTAGAAAATCAATACATTGTAAAATTCGTGTGCCTGCAGTTACTAAAATCCTAGTACACCATGAACATTTCATTTCATTGTTGTTTGGGGAAAGTGCTCAACATTGGGACCAAATCAAAATATCTCAAAACCAAGGAAGGAGTTGAAAACAAAGAAAGGCAGGAGTTGAAGTAGCAATCATAGAGAGCTGATAAAAGATCAATGGGTTTTGAAACAAGTTGAAGACATTAGGGTGCCCCAAGGAAGTTAATCTAACTTTTGATCAGTTATATTTTCCATGGACAGGAGAAAAGATGAAAAAAATATAAAGATATGAATTCCCAAACCTGTGACTGAAGTGGTGAATGGTGGAACGGGTAACAATTTACTTTTCCATTTTTAATAAAAAAACATTTAGAATTTAGGAAAATATTTTAAATTAAAAACTTAATAGTTGGTCCTATGGCATAATGGTAATGTCATTTCAATCTCAACCAAGGGATATCGCTTAGAGTTCTTCTGGAGTGGTCCCCGTTTTATGGAGTGGGAATAAAAATGAATGGCCTGAAGAAAGTTAGGTGTGGTCTTACTAGTTAAGTTACAAAATAACTAAAATTTATGGTACTGTTAGTTCTACTACGACTTATAATTAAAGTTGACTTTTTATTTTTTAAATGCAATGAAAGATCCAATCCAACTTTTCAAATAAATTTTTTTTGTTAACTTACTCGAGAATTTTCCAGATACAGTAGGTAGCAAGTATTATGACAATAATGACTGCTGAAACCACTGATGCCAATAATCCCAGAATGTCAGTGGAACTTTGCGCTGAATCTGGTGAAGCCAAATTTATTTTTTGGAAATAAAAATCAAATATTAATATTGAAGCAAATAAAGTGGATACTGGCAATGTGAAAACTGAAATGTAGAATGAACTGCTCACAACCAAAGTTTCAGAATATGAGAAGCCTGATCCACTTAATCTTGAGTTTGGTGTCAGCTTTTTAATAGTGGTAAATAAATGCAGATGAGATCAACCATCAATTGGTAAAAAATGTAAGTTTAGAGGTAAATAAATACAGGTGAGATAAACCATTAAATAGTTGATTTTAAATTTATTTTTACCACTATAAAAAAAAATGATTTTTTAAGATGCTTAATAAATACCAATGATATCAACAATTTAGGGTTGTATAAGTAAACATGAAATCAAGTTTTTCAACCAAAAAAGTTTTATTTTTATGGTTACCATGACTTTTTTTAAATAGCTCAATTGCCCTTAAATTTATGTTTGTTGATGTTAGAACAAATAAATGAATACTTTACAAATAAAAAAAAATATTTAAAAAAATAATTTTCTGTCCACGAAAATGATTTAAATAAATACTTGATGCATGTGGTGTAATACAATGTTGAAAAGCCAATTTATTGTTTAAATCAATAATTAACATTTAACACTGTAACTGGTTGGTTGAGTAATTTTAAATGACAAAAAAATTCTTAGAATTATTTTCAGACTCTTTTCATTTAAAAAAAACAAGCCAATTTTTCAAGTTTATATAGGTACAGATATAAATATAAGCATACTTTTATATCTGTTCATGTATTAAAAAATATGAAATTTTAATGAGCTACCATTTTCAATATTAAATCATGAAGTAACAATTTTTACCTTCTGGGTGACATAACCCAAAATTTTGCACATTATGATCTGATTTGAAAAAAGAAATGATAAAAATTATTTGATTTTCAATAATAATATTATATCACAAGAAATAAAGCTATCTTTTAAACTCACATATGCTTTCTGTTTTGTTTTATTTATTAAATATATTATCTAATTCAGAGATATAGTTTTGATAGCAATATAAAAAAAGTAAAATTAC